TTTTTTTTTTGAGACAGGCTTTCTCTGTGTAACATTCCTAGCTGTCCTGAAACGAGTTCTTTGAAGATCAGGTTGGATTCGAACTCACAGAGATTCCTCTGCCTACTGCCTCTGCCTCCCGAGTGCTGGGATTAAAGGTGTGTGCCACCACCACCCAGCTGTTGTTTTAGTTTTTTGAGAGAATCAGTGTGTCCTTGAACATGCTTCAAAGGTTGTATCTTAGCTTTTCACATGTTAGCATTACGGGTATGTGCTACTATGCACAGCCAATAAAAGAAAACATATTAATCTAAAGGAGTAAAATAACCGAGGGACACATAGGAAGATGGATATAATCAGGAGACCTGCAGAGACGTTCCTTACCTTTAAGGTTGACGTCATTTCTGCCGGTGCTGATGAAGAGTTTGAACACAGTTGCATTGGGGGTATTTGTGAGGTAAGTCTTGAGGTCATAGTTGAATGTTAATCTTGACGAAGCATTGACTACCACCTGCCAGCAAACCAAGGGGGAAAGCTGGTTCCCTCCATCCTTACCCCCAATAACTTAATTCAACCAAGAGTATCTGTTTCATACAACTACAAATTGGCATTCTGATTATTTGAGAAACAACAACAACAAAAAATTTGTGTAGGGAGACTTTTCTTTCCTGATAACCATTTCCCAAATAACCAATATGTGGGCAGTGGTGGCGCACACCTTTAATCCCAGCACTCAGGAGGCAGAGGCAGGCAAATCTCTGTGAGTTCGAGGCCAGCCTTGTCTACAAGAACTAGTTCTAGGACAGGCTCTAAAACTACAGTGAAACCCTGTCTCAAAAAACCAACCAACCAGGGCTGGAGAGATGGCTCAGTGGTTAAGAGCATTGCCTGTTCTTCCAAAGGTCCTGAGTTCAATTCCCAGCAACCACATGGTGGCTCACAACCATCTGTAATGAGGTATAGTGCCCTCTTCTGGCCTGCAGGCATATACCCAGACAGAATATTGTATACATAATAAATAAATAAACAAAAAACCAAAGAAACAAACAAAAAAACCCAAATAACCAATATGGAGACTTAATATTAATTATAGCTATTTGGCTGACAGCTCAGGCTTATAACTAACTAGCTCTTACAACTTAAATTAACCCATTTCTATTAATCTGTGCTGCCACATGGCTCATGGCTTATTACCTCATTTTTATATATGCTTCCTTTCCATCTAGCTGGTGACCCTGACTCGGCCCTTTTTTGCAGCATCCTCCTAGTCTGGTTCTCCTGCCCAATCTCTTCCTGCCCAGCTATAGGTCAGTTAGCTCTTTATAACCAATGAGAGTAATACATATTTACAGTGTACAAAGATTGTTCCACAGCATTTCCCCCTTTTGCTTAATTAAAAAAGGTTTTAACTTCAACATAGTAAAATTATATAAAAAAGTTATTAATTAGAAAAAAGGTGGAATTTTAAAAAAAATTTTCGAATATTTCTTACATTATATGAATATATGTTTCTGTGATTGGCTTAATAAAGAAGCTGACAGGCTGCCGGGCGATGGTGGCACATGCCTTTAATTCCAGCACTCGGGAGGCAGAGGCAGGCGGATTTCTGTGAGTTCAAGACCAGCCTGGTCTACAAGAGCTAGTTCCAGGACAAGCTCCAAAGCCACAGAGAAACCCTATCTTGAAAAAAAAAACAAAAAACAAAAAAAAACAAAAAAAAGAAGCTGACAGGCCAGTTGCTGAACAGGAGTGTTAAGCAAGAGAACCACACTGAGAATGCTGGCAGAAAGAAGGGCAGAGTCAGAGAAGTGGTGAGTGGACCCAGAGCAAAGCAAGATGGGCATGCTATTATGAGAAAAGGTATTAAGTCACATAGCAAAGCATAGGTAAGACATATGGGTTAATTTAAATGTAAGAGTTAGCTATTAATTAGCCTGAGTTATTGGCCAAGCATTTATATTTAACAGTAAGTCTCTGTGTGGTTACTTGGGAGTGGCTTGTGGGACAGAAGCTTCTGTCTACAAAATCATTTACTTGTGAAATGATTTTTTAAATTTTTTAAAAAAGATTTATTTATTTATTATGTATATAACATTCTACCTCCATATATGTCCACACGCCAGAGGAGGGTGCCAGATCTCATTACAGATGGTTGTGAGCCACCATGTGGTTGCTGGGAATTGAACTCAGGACCTCTGGAAGAGCAGCCGGTGCTCTTAACCACTGAGCCATCTCTCCAGCTCCTTATTTTTTCTTGTAAATTTTGAGACAGGTCTTGGGTATAAAAAGACTAGCCAGAATCTCTCTTTATAGCTTAAGATGACCTTGAATTTCTGATCTTCCAGCCTCCACCACCACATCTCCAGTGTTGAGATTAAAGACACACCTGGTTTGTGTGGTGGGAATTGCACCCAGGAATTCATGCATGTTATAAAGCGTACTTCCATCCTAGCATGTTTCTGCATGCATAACCTATAAATGCAATCACCCTGGTCCTTCCAGCTGCGGTGCACATAGCTGTACCTCTCGAAATGTCTTCACAACTCCAGGGATGTCATGAAAGATGGTTGCAGTTCCTGGGCTCCTAGCCACTCCCACTCCAGTGGCTGTGTCTGTCTGTACAATATTGTTGGGAGAAATCATCCACAGCCCAGGCTCACCTAAGAAAAGACGAGAGAATGTGCCTGGCTGCGATTTTCAATATAAATTAATAAATTACTTCAGTCAAAGCCTCAATCAGTGGGCACTCAAGACCACTCTTTATCAAGAACGTGAGTAGCTTTCCTGAATGTCTGTTTTACCTGGCACCTACCAGATTTCAGGTCCTGACGCAGCCCTTCTGCTTCCTCATCTTTACTAGTATGCACGTGGTTGTCCTGGCACAAACCCAACTAAAAAGCCTCGCCTCTGCAGCCTGCAAGCCAGCAGGCAAAGGCACTTGCTACGAAGCCAGACAGCCTGAGCTAATCTCCAGGACCCACATGGTGTATCATATCTGAGCTTCATATGTGTATCATGACATGTGTGCCCCTATGCCCCTTTTTTAAAATTTTGTTTTTGAGGGCTGGAGAGACGGCTCAGAGGTTAAGAGCATTGCCTGCTCTTCCAAAGGTCCTGAGTTCAATTCCCAGCAACCACATGGTGGCTCACAACCATCTGTAATGGTGTCTGGTGCCCTCTTCTGGCCTGCAGGCATATACACAGACAGAACACTGTATACATAATGAATTAATAAATAAATATTTAAAAAAAATTTTTGTTTTTGAGACAGGGTTTCTCTGTATCTTTGGAGCCTGTCCTGGAGCTAGCTCTTGTAGACCAGGCTGACCTCGAACTCACAGGGATCCACCTGCCTCTGCCTCCTGAGTGCTGGGATTAAAGGCTACGTCACCACCGCCCAGCTCCCCATGCCCTTCATATGCATATCATTACATGTGTGCTCCATGTCCTTCATATGTGTATCATGACATGTATACCCCCATGACCATAAATGCTTAAAGATAAAGTTTGCTTCATGGAGAGGTTTCTAACTGTGGAAGTGCAACTTTCATTACTGGCTTTGAGGGCAGCTTAGCTCACAGACCTTGGAGTTTACACTGGTCATCGCAAGTCAGCTCCAAGGCTGATTAGAACTACCTTTGTAGCCGGGCAGTGGTGGTGCACACCTTTAGTCCCAGCACTTGAGAGGCACAGGTGGATCTCTGTGAGTCTGAGGCAGCCTGTTCTGCAGAGAGAGTTCCAGGATTAGTTGCAGTGTTGTCTCCTAACTCAGCATGTATCCATAGTTCCCAGAAAAAAGACCAAAGTCCTTCTCAGCCCTAGACCCCCTAGCGAGTCAGTCGTAGGTGGATGGTTGCAGGATGGAGGAATTCTTCCCTGGGAAGACAGATACCTCCTTATAGGCTACCAGTGACAAACCAAATCAAAGTCCAACTTGGGACACTAATAAGTTTATTGGGCTTTATTACAGAGCACAGTTAAGGGGTTACAGGAGTATGGGTGACCCCAAAGCTGCCACACTACTGGTAAGTCTCACCCCACCATGGCTGCACAGACGGAGTCCCTCCTTCAGTTAGACTGACACACCGTGACTGTGCTCTAGCACCTCCCAAGACTAGGGGGCTGTATGCAATCAGAACAGAACTACATGCAGCTAACTGAGAAGCGCAAAGGCTGAGTGTCCTGCAAGCCTCTCGGTCCTTCCTTCTACGAGGCAGCTTCAGCAAGGAGCAGGCCTGATCTTGGGTCTCCTAGTAGTCTCATGCTCTAATACGCATAACGGCCGTATGCTTGGAGAACAGTGCTCCAGACAGATGACTAGTGAAATACATGTATCACGTTGGGACATACTATCTGTAAAGTCAAAGAATTCACATTTTCTTGCCAAGAATAAATTTTCTTTTTATTTTTCAGTGCTAGGGTTTCAAACTAAGGACAAATTTTCTATCATTTTAATTGAATTTAATAGAACTTTTTCTAACAGAAATATTTTCTTGATCAGAATAGTTTAGGACTGGCAAAATGGCTGGGCTCGAATGGTACAAGGGCTTGCGTGCAGGCCTGGTGATTTGAGTTTGATCTCCTGATTCCTCAGTGGAAGGAGAGAACCAATTCCATAAAGCTGTCCTCTGACCTTCACACGTGTGCCAGGGCACATGCACCACACACACACACACACACACACACACACACAGACACACACACACACACACACA